ATTTGCTAACTATTAATAATGGAAATGCTCGAGGCCAAGCAAGTTCGATATAACGCGGTTTCACCTATAACGCGGTAAGATTTTTTGGCTCCCGCGGACAACGTTATATTGGGGTAGAAGTGTATGTATATTTATGCCTGTATCTGTAATTTTCACTCCATGCATCTGAAGAAGGGTTTGTTTGTTTTTAACCCACGAAAGCTTATGCTCAAATAAATCTGTTAGTCTTTAAGGTGCTACCGGACTCCTCGTTGGTTTTGTGGCTACAGACTAACACGGCTACCCCTCTGATACTTGACACCTGGAGATATAGGGATGAAAAACACTGTATAAAGGGGTGTTACTTGTTCAAAGCACAAAGCAAAACTGTTAATTACAAGCTATTAATTTCCAGTTGTCATAAATATACATAGGGCAGCTGTACTGAATTGCCTAACCTGTAAGGGGTTAATTAGTTCAATTCACCTAGTTGGCACCTGACCAGAAGGACCAATGGGGAAAGAAGATACTTTAAAATCTGGTTGGGGAGGTTTTTGTTTGGGCTCTCTTTGTTTGTTTTCCCTCCAACAGAGAGAGAGAGAGACCAGGGCAGGAAAAAACATCTGCTAAAAATCATACCTGAAATGAGCATCTAAGATTACAAAAATTGTAAGTAAAGCAAAGAAATGCATTAGATTATCTTTTGGTTTAGCTTGTGAATTTTCCCTATGCTAAAAGGTAATTTTATTCCTGTTTTGTAACGGGGAAGCAGAGTCAGAGTGGAATCCTCTGTGTTTTAAATCTTTTTATTTACCCTGTAAAGTTACCTTCCATCCTGATTTTACAGGCGTGATTCTTTTACTTTTTTTTTTAAATAAAATTCTTCTTTTAAAATCCTATTGATTTCAGTGTCCTAAAAACTAGGGGTTTGGTCTGTGGTCACATTGTAACCAATTGTTAGTATATTATTCTCAAGCCTCCCCAGAAAAGGGGGTCAGGAGGCTTGGGGGGATATTTTGGGGGGACTGGGCTCCAAGTGGCCCCTCCCTGAATGTTTTTTTAAAACACTTGGTGGAGGCAGCAATACCGTCCAAGGACAAGGAAAGGAATTTGTGCCTTGGGGAAGTTTTTAACCTAAGCAGGTGGAATGTAAGCTTAGGGGGGTCTTTCATGTAGGTGCCCACATCTGTACCCCAGAGTTCAGAATGGGGAGGGAACCCTGTCTACAAAGAAAGGTGATAGTGTGCCTGTAAATGGTGATACAGATGTTAGTAACTTATTCAGATCAATAACAATATAAAATAAAAGTTCGAATTTTTTAAAATCCTGCCTGAGATTATATCCGCCATTTTAGCAAATGATAAAATAGAAATGATAGATTAGGCTGTCGCTGTATTTTCTTTTTCAGGCATTGTTGTAGTAGGGCCTGATTCTAAGCCACTGAAGTCTGTGGAGAGATTCCATTGACTTCAGTGGGTTTTGGATCAGGCTCGTAATGCGGCTGGAACCATATTCTCTTATCATGCACATAGGACTCGTAATGAAGTAACTGGGAGCTGTGTACATAACTTGAGGGCAAGATATGACCCTATATAAACACTGTTGCTAAATCAACAAATGCAAAAGGTTTTTGTAAAAACATCTGACAAAAACTAGAAAGAGGTTGATTTGACTTTGGTTGTATTTTTTCCATAATCCACTCTTTTCAAAGTTCTTTTATAAGTGACATCCAGGGAATGAAAAAGTATCTAAGAATGTGAAGCGGCCTGCATGGGCTATCTCAGCTAGGATTACCATATTCAAACATTTAAAAAAGAGGACACTCCAGGGAGCCCCGGTCTCGCCCCTGGCCCTGCCCCTTCCCCGCCTCTGGCCCCACCCCTGGCCCCGCCCCAGCCCCACCCCTTCTCCGCCCCCATTCCAACCCTTTCCCCAAAGTCCCTGCCCCAACTCTGCCCCCTCCTCTGAGCACCCCGCATTCC